ATGAATTTGATAGACAAGGGTTTTAGTTTTTCCCAGAACACTCATGAGGAAGGTTATGAGAGTGGTGAGATTTTGTATTGAGGGTTTTTGCTCTTTGGCTTCTATTTTTGGAAAACAGGAAATTTGATTAGATGCTTAATGGCAGCAATATTGGCCAAGGTTGTCTCAGTAGTGGTAAATTCAGGAGGCAAAATGGTACTTCCCATTTCCTTTTTGTGTCTTGTGTTTTACTTTTTTGAGACTTGCTTTGTATTCGTAGCTGGCCTGGAATTGTTTACCATGATGGCCTAAACACTGGCATGCTCTGCCTCAGCCTCTCCCAAGCATTGGGATTGCAGGCATGTACCATTAGTCCAATGTGTTTACAGGAGTGTGGGTTAGTGTGTTGGCCTTGCCAAGCCACTTTGCAAGTCTTAACAAATGACCTGTTTGAAACTAGCCTTTTCTTTTTTCCTTTCTCCCTTCCTTCCTTCCTTCTTTTTTTTTTTTTTTTTTTTTTTTTTTTAATACTGGGTTTCTCTGTGTATCCTTGGCTGTCCTGGTCTTGGTTTGTAAACCAGGCTGACCTCAAACTCACAGCAATCTGCCTCCCTGAGTGCTGGGATTACAGGTTTGTGCCACCATGCCTGGAAACTAGCCTTTTCTTAAAAAAAAAAAAAAGTCAGATAGGTTTTGCCATAATTCACACATGAACCTCTCTAGAGGCTTGTGAGTTTTTATTGAGTATGGCTCTGGATTGTCAAGCTTCCTGTTTAACACATTGAATGGGAATTGTGTGCAGGTCCTGTTGTTTGCCTTACTGATGTTGGCTAAATTAAACTCTGGACATCCATTTTTTTCTGGCTATAAAATTATAGTAACTTCCTTGCCTATGGACATAACTGAGGCATATTTACATTCTTTAAAGTTAGCATTTCTCTGCCTCACGATGAAACACTCGGGTTCCATCCCAGAATGTTTGGAGTATCTTCAGAGGTGGAGTCCAGGTACCTGTTAATATTTCTGTCATGTTCCTTTAACAACCTTCCTAATGCTGCAGCCTACAGTTCCTCATGTTTACCCCAACCATTAAAATTTTTTGCTACCTAGTGACTAATTTTGCTACTACTATGAATCATAATGTAAATACCTGATAGACAACTGTGAAAAGGCCAGTTCGCCCCCAAAGGGGTCTTGACCCACAGTGTGAGAGCCATTGTTTTAATCCCATTTTGGGTGGCAGAGGCAGATAACCTGAGTTCCAGGCCAGCTAGGGCTGCATAGTAAAACTCCAGATTTCTGATTGTAATGCTGAGGCTTGGGAATGAAGCTTCACTTTTCTTGTGTATATCTATGAAGTTTATGAGTGAGAAAGTTTATGAGTGGCTGATGTTAAGTAAGTGCCTCTGCGTACAGAATAGAGGAATAGAATGTATAGTTGGTGCCACACAAACAGGACAAGGGCCTTTGGGCACTGAAGGAACTCCACTTTTGTTTCTGTAGTTCCGGGATTCTCTGAATTATGAAACTTACAGAACATGGGTAAAGAAGTCTTGGAATGTGGCTGATTGAATTGGAAAGAAGAGCTGAAGGTTTTTATGGTTTCAGATTACTGGCTAGCTGAAATTGTGTGTACTGAAACTAGAAATAAGTAGAATCAAGTAGATTTGTGTGGAAAGGAAAGTAAGAGTTTAGTTAGGGAATCTAAAATCTGAGGTGCTTGCACTGATACTCAAGTGGCTGTAGTACTGGGAGTTGAGAAGTTGGTATTCAGGCTAGAGCTGCAGAGGGCAATAGGGGAGCAAAGAAATGCACCTTGGGATATCAGAAATAAAAACCAAAAGTTGGGCCATGTTGTAGACTGAAGGCCTACTGTATATCTCCAGCAGCATTCCGTCATTAGTTTCCTTCCAGGGACTCTGACAACTTGGGCTTCGGTCTTCCTGGATGGACAATGGAAATGGTCTCAGAGTTGTTGGGAAGATTAAGAGTCTAATTACCAGCAGACTGTGTGCTGAATTAATTTGTCACTGCTGACTGCTTTTGAATGTTGATACAAATAGAGCTTGTAGGAGTCAAGTCCCAACTCCTTTGTAACTCATGATGTAGTGATGTGTGCCTGTCTTGGTCATTCCTTGAATTTATTTTCTGTTATGTAGTATTTATAGGTGCCGTTTATGCCATTTTTCTACTTCCCTTAAGGGAAATTAAGGAAATCCTAATGCAAGCTTTTCTTAGGATTATATACAGCAACTTGTATGTACAGGCATCATCCTGTTTCTGACATGATTTCTCTGTGCTAATGCCTCCAAGCTGATTGGTGCAAAGCAGGGCCACAGCCAGCTTGAGAACGTAAGTGAAGGAGGTCTGTGATGCCCTGATACTTGTTTCTGCTAAGGTTTCTTCTGGCAGTCTTAAGCCCAGAAACCAGAGAGTGAGTCATTTCTAAGCAATGCTTTCTTTAGGCAGTTTTCTTCAACTCATACATTCACATTGTCTTGAAAAATCCTTAAATTCTGCCTGATTGTATAGGAAATGAAGCATTGACACTCCTTCAGCTTGGGACCAGGGTGATAATGAAGATGAGCTTAAAGACCTCAAAATTCAAGACAGGCTGTAGCCTGGGGACAGCATTTGCCTGGTATGTGCAAGGCCCTTGGTTTGTTCCCTAACCCCACCTCCTAAAAGACTCACCATTCCTTGAGGCTTTTGGTTCTTGGCTTTCTTATATGTAAAGTGAGGGAACTAGGTTAGGTGCTTAACTTTCTAGCAATAATTATGCTAATATGTGCTATTAGAATACATGTTATATTTACAGAATTGTAATTGGCCAGTTTTGTATGACTTCAAAAATAATGTCTGTGATATATGTGACAGTATTTTTTTCTTTTTTAGTTTTTTGAGACAGGATTTCTCTGTGTTTCTGTCCTGGACTAACTTTGTAGACCAGGCTGGCCTCAAATTCACAGATACCCACCTGCCTCTGCCTCCCAGAGTACTGGGATTACAGGAGTTTGAACTAAGCCTGGCAATTTTTGTTACTATTCAAATTCTTTCACCTATAAACAACGTGTCAGGCAACAAACCTTACTGAATTGTCCTATCTGACCCACAATTAAGGGGTCATAGAGAACACTCATAATTCAAATGGGTCTTGTGGTTCTATGCCAGTGAATGCTTGATTCAGGAAATAACTTTCAAGCTGTATGATCTTGAGTAGATCTTTAGGTCTGCATTTCTTTTTCATCTAAAATAAAAGTACACGTAATAGCTTCTGTGTGCCTAGCAGTGACCTATAGTCTTTACCTGATACTATGTTTAAAGCACATTACTGTCACAGTACAACTCAGTGATGTACTGCAACCCCAGCCATTACTATGTATGAGAGGCAGCACTGAGCAGCACACTTTCCCCTGGGTATGTGAACTGTCAAGGATTACATACTGTGAATGGAATGTGCTTTTCTAGCTGAAGGGAGAAACAAGCAAGGCACCTGTTGGAAGTGCCGGCCACTGCTCATTCCCACAGTTCTTTAAAGTCAGCTGGCCTGGTTCCCTGTCACTGTGCCATTTTAATTAGGTTTTTTTTTTTTTTTCTTTAGCCCTGGCTGGCATGGAACCCACTGTCCCTCCAGCTCAGAGCTTGCCTACCTCTGCCTCCTAAATGCTGGGACTAAGAGAATATTATACCATGCCTGGCTTACTTCTCTTTTTCCTTTTTCTTTTTAAATTTTCTTTGCGACACTATGCTGCCTAGGTTGACCTAAAATAACAGATTTTTCCCAGGCTTCTAAGAGCTGTAGTTACATGCATGAAATTAAACGACTTTTAAGACCTTGAGTTGGTGACATGGCTGAGCGGGGAGGGGTGCTTGCTGCCAGCTTTGATAACCTGAGTCCCTGGAATGTCTGGTGGGAGGAGAGAACCAGCACTCAAAGCCACCGCTTGACCAACTTCATAGACACTGGTATGTACACACACACAGATACACAGTGAACAAAAGTTAAAGGAAAAGGACTTTGGTTTCCATTTGGAGGACACCACTCAAGCCCCTTGCGAATAAGTTGCTGAGTAGAGCTGGATGCTCTGATTGTCAACAAGTCTTAGTGACTTGAAGTTCCTGGGTAAGACGTCCTTTAAGCAACACCATAGGGCTCTCTGGGTTGTAAGCCAGGACAAAGCCTGTGGCCTGTAAGAGAATCTGGCTTAGTATTTTTTGGGTCCTTACATAAGGAATTGCCTCCTATAAAACACAATGGTTTGAATTTTCATTTCAAATAAAGATGAAACTGTATGCACATGTTAAAATTCTCATTTCTAAGGGTATTATGGGGTTAATTGTGGATTTCAGTATGATTATCTGAGTTAATGCATTAATTCAGTAACCCACTATTAACAGAAAAGACTTAGATGACATTTACCATGTAGGAAACACGACTATTCATACATATCAGCTCCCAGGTGAGGAACAGGACATGGTATAAAGTGTCCCAAGACACATCGGTCACCACAGGTAGCACAGCTGAGTTGAGCTTCAGTAATGTAATCTCAGGGTTTGCGCTTTTTTAAAGATTTTACTTTTGAAACATGTTCCCACATTGTAAGTAAGCTCAGATTTGCCCTGGAAAACACTATGCCACTTAGGGTATAGCCTTGAGCTCACAGTGGTCCTCCTGCTTCAGTGCTAGGATTATAGGCATGAGTCTCCATGCTGTTTGTCTTTTGTTTTGAGCTAGGATCTTGGTATATACAGGTTGGCCAGCCTGGACTTGGTAAGTAGGTGAGCTGGCCTTGATCTCAGATCTGCCCACCTCAGCCTCCTGAATGCTCGGGTTAACATGCATCCCATCACTCAATCTTCCGGGTGAGGGAGGCTAAGGAGGAAGGGCAGCAGTAATGAAGCAGTGTTAGGGAGACAGAGGTACAGAAACAGAAGAGTCAGAGGATGCTGAAGGGCCAGGAAACTATCCTCTTCTCCATCTCCACCACTAAGAGAGCTCATAGCTACTGTGTGCAGAACTCTGTAATTCCATGTAACACTTTATTGGTCAGGTGGGTATTACATGTGTACTTAAAAGAATGATAATGATTGACAGGAGAATTGCAAAGGTGGTAATTATAATCTTGAAGCATTTCCACCATATCTTGGGAATCTTCCTTGTGTTTTCAAATTCTTCTGCCTGAAATAAAAATAAACACGAACTTAGAATTTTCTATTTCTGAACTTAAACTGATGAAAAGCATCTGAGAGAATCGATTTAGTTTAGTGTTAGCCAATTCCAAGAAGAGTCAGTAGGACCCAGTAAGTCGGGAAAGGGAAGTGCCACAGTTCTAGTTGCCTGTGCTGAGCTGTGACTTTATCACGGCTCGGACCTTGAACAAGTTTTCTCATCTTCCGTCTTCTTTGTGGTTTTACTGAATTACCTTATAATCCAGTCTAAGTTCTACCACATTTCTGTCCTACACATCTTGCCTCAGTTCTTAAAGATTTATTGTCTGTGTGTGCCGTTGAATTCCCTAGAGCTGAAGTTACAGGGAGCTCTGGGACCCAAACTTGGGTCTTCTGGAAGAGCTGCAAACACTTTCAACTGCTGAGAATTGAGAAGAGCCCTCTTGTTCTCAATTATTTTCCAGTTAATCAGTAAGTTAATGCAGTTAATCAGTCATATGGTGTTAGATAAAATAAAGTGATGCTTGTCTGTAGTCCCTGCACTTGGGAGGCAGAGGCAGGCAGATCTGTGAGTTAGAGGCCAGCCTGGTCTACAATGCCAGTCCAGGACAGCCAAGGCTACAGAGAAACCCTGTCTTGAACTCCCCCCCCCCCCCCCAAAAAAAAAGACCCTTTAAGCCAGGCATGGTGGCACATGCCTGTAATCCCAGCACTCAGGAAAGCAGAGGCAGGAGGATCTCTGTGAGGCCAAGGCCAGCCTGATCTACAAAAGTGAGTACAGGACAGCCAAGGCTATACAGAGAAACCATGTCTCAAACACACAAACGACCAAGAGAAAGAAGTATGGCATGCATTCTTGCCTGTTTTGTTTCATTTTATATTCTCAGTGTGGGACAGCGCAGGGCATACAGTAAACTAAGTATTTATTGAATTAATGACAGTTTAAATGGGGGCAATAATATTTGCTGTGCAGTTCCATAGGCTGTATCGATTAACTAAGTGACTGCAGCACATCAGAGATGACTGCCTTCTGAGAATTTTGTTGTTCACTAGCCATTTTCATATCTAGTTGGATATTGTTGGAATTTGAGTCTATAATGTCCTCCACACACTCATGCTGTTCCTCAGCTACTGGTGCTACCGGTAAGCGTGGGGGTGGGGGTCTTCGGGAGTGGCAGCACTACTGGAAGGTGCTCAGAGGAGAGCCTTTTGGAGATTATACCAGCTTCTGCTGCTGGCTCTCTTTCCCACACGTCACTGAACTGAACTGTTCCACAATTCACTCCTGAACTAGAGCTGTGAGCCAAAACCAAGAATTTTCTTCCTTGTTTCTGCCAGGTAAGGTGATCAGAGATCTAGAAATACAGATGTGAATTATGCTCAGTGCTTTATCATAGATATGTGGCATTTAAAATATATATATTTGTTTAACGTGGATGGGTGGTTTGCATGCATGTTTGTGTATCACTGTAAGTGTAGTACCTGTGGATCCCAGAGAAGGACATTGGATCCCCTGGAACTGGAGTTAGAGATGGTTGAAAGCTGCCATGTGGGTGCTAAGAATGAACCTGGGTCTTTTTGAAATTAAGTGTTTTTAACTTCTGGGCCATTTTTCTAGCCCTGACCTCACATGCTCTTTAGTTATTTTTCTTTGAAATTTGTTTTTTAGATTTATTTTATGCATGTGCATGTTTTGTCCGCATGTCTAAATACCACATGTGTGCCTGGGGGCCCTCAGAAGTCAGAAAGAAGGTGGCAGATACCCTAGAACTTATGGTTGCATATGGTTTTGAGCCACCACTGGGTGCTAGGAATCATGGTTAGTTTCTCAGCAAAAGCAACAAATACTCTTAGCCACTGAGCCATCTCTCTAGCCACAGCCTCATATTTCTAATGTAAGACTGGTTATGAGAGAGAGCCCAGGCTTATGTACCAAGATAAATAAATAACATGGTTATTTCTAAGCATCCGCTGTGGAGAAGCCAGGTGACTAGTCACTTTTCAGTGTATTAGAATTTATTGGGTACTAAGATGTAAGAGCTACACAATGTGCTTCGTGTGTGTGTGTGTGTGTGTGTGTGTGTGTGTGTGTGTGTGTGTGGTTTTTCGAGACATGGTTTCTCTGTCTATCAAGGCCTGGCTGTCCTGGACTTGCTTTGTAGACCAGGCTGGCCTCGCACTCACAGAGATCTGCCTGCCTCTGTTTCCATCTCCTGAGATTAAAAACTGGGATTAAAAGTGTGCGCCGCCATGCACAGCTTCATATGTGTTTTTATACTAAGGTTTACTCAATGTATTAGTTAGGTTTTATTGCTCTGAAGAGACGTCATGACCATGGCAACTCTTTAAAAGGAAAACATTTATTTGGAGCTGGCTTACAGTTTCAGAGGTTTAGTCCATTATTGTCATGGTGGGAAGCATGGCAGCGTGCAGGCAGACATGGTGTTGGATAAGATGCTGAGAGTTCTACATCTTGATCTGCAGGCAGCATATCAGAAAGAGACAGGGTGCCACACTGGGCAGAGCTTGAGCAGAGGAGACCACACTTCCTTCAACAAGGCCACACCTACTCCAACAAGGCCACACCTCCCAATGGTGCCATGCCCTATGGCCAAGCATTGAAATAGGTATAGGGGGGCTATACCTATCCACACCACCATACTGGATAATCCCCCAAGTATTCCTGTTTTATAGTGGTGCAGAAAATGAGGCAGAGGTTTTAGTTACTTAAGATTTTATAGTAAGTGATGGGGCTAGAATTCAAACCTCAAATTGCATGACTCCACAAAGGTTAGGAAAATATTAAGATACAGGCAGTCTCTACATTCTCTTAGGTAATTTTTTTTTTTTTTCCCTTCTATCTTCTGAGGCACACTGCTATGCCGGCTACTGGTTCTCTAACACTGAAATGGTGTGAGATGAGACAGCATGGACTGGACTGATGGCTTAGTGGTTAAGAGCACACACTGTCTTTGCAGAGGGCCCAAGTTTGAATCCCAGCACCCATATTAGGCAGCACACAAATACCTGTGACTCCAGGGTTATCTGACCCCCTCTTGTGGCCTCCTTGGGAACCTGCACTCATGTGCAGACACTGCACACAAAACACATAATTAAGAAAAATAAAATGCTTTTAAAGATGAGCTGTACTCGTTACAGTACTTTAAAAGCATATAGGCATAATGCACAGGTGAGATGAAGACCCACAGAGGGCAATCGTTTCCTAAAATCATCTGTGACAACTTTGAACACCAAGTGCCAATTGAGAATGTCCCAGTAGAAGAAAAGGATGGAAACTAGAACAGCGGTTATGCTTTGTGGGTGCTGATTACAGTCAGCAACTGGTGGCAGCTTTGCAAGTACAGATGATAAGGAATAGGGCCATTCATCCTCCTTCTTCTGCTCTTGGACTCCACCTCTGTAGCTAGTCTTTGCTATGTTGTGGGTTCCTTTTGCTACCTTTAACTCCCTGGTTTCAACCCTATCACTAGATAAAAGAGAAAGATGGAGAGGGGGGGAGAGAGAGATCGCTGAATCTAATTTCTTTTCTTTTGTTTCTTCTTTGAGCACAGCTATTTACAAATCGCAAACAACCTCTCTGAATGACCAACTACCAACTCTGCTTCTCAGGGTCCTAGCATTTATGTACCCTCATAAACTATCTGCATCTGGCAAAACCACACCTCTGCCAACCACTTGGCAAATCATAGTCAGCTGCTTCAAAGCAGTCCCATATCCTCACACCTGGGATTTAAACAAACAAACAAATAAACATGTAATATTTCTCTGTCTTTGAAGAAACCAAAATTCCAGAATTCTCACTACACACCTCCCATTTCTCTAGGCTGAACTCCCTCCACCTAGAGTTTGCGTCCTTTCTTTCTGACTGCCTTTTGCTGTTTCATCAGCTACTTTCTCTATTGCTGATATTTTCCTTCCTCGTTGTAAAATATGTCTGTACTCCTTTCGGATACACCCCTTTGAGGAGCATCGAAACACTGGATAAGATTTTGACTTTCTGGCCCAAACAATAGGAAAGAAGACTGAAGGCCAATGAATTAAACATGCACGTTAAGTCTACCGTGCCTCAAAAACAATGTGATTCCAAACAAAAAACTTGACACACAAGAGGATAGCAAGTCCACAAGGAGGCACTTGACACCGTAGTCATTAAGGAAATTTGAAATAATAACCCAGTGAGGCACCACAGTCAATATAGTAGCAACACCAGGAATAATAACAGGAAGCAAATATTGAAAGTAATATGGTTGGAGGGTGAGATGATTCAGTTACTGTGGCAAATGGTTGGGCAGTTCCTTTGTTTGTTAAACAGTAACCACAGGACCCAGCAATTTGATTTCCATGTATATGAAAAAACGATTTGGGAGCCAGGTGTGGTAATGCATGCCTTTAATCCCAGCACTCTGGAGGCAGGCAGACATATCTGTGAGTTTGAGGACAGCCTGGCCTACAGAGCAAGTTTCTGGACAGACAGGGCCACATAGAGAGCTCCTGCTTTAAAAAGGTAATTTGAATACTGTTTTCAATTTTGAATGAAGTCCTGTAAAAAATGAACCTGTGGGGCCAGCAAGAGGGTTCAGAAGGTGAAGGTGCTTGCCACCAAGTCTGGCAACATGGATTAGATTCCCAGAGCCCGTATGACAGAAGGAGCATACACACACGTGCACGAATACGCGCACACTCACGCATGCATGGGTACACAGGCATGCATGTGCACACACACATGCATATAAATAAATGCATTAAAAATGAGCCTGTATGTAAACTTTGTAGTTTTATTATTCACAATAGAGGGTGCAATGTCATATGATTATACTCTTAGCAATTGGGAGACTGAGTCAGGAAGAGTGTTAAGCATGAGGCCAGCCTGAGCTATGTAGACCATGTCTTGAAAAAACCAAGAGCTGCAGATATAATGCAATGGTACTGTGTTTGCCTATCATATACAAGGCGTTGGATTTGATTCCAGCACCACCAAATAAAACAACACAAAGAAAGTTCCAAATTGGGCTGAAGAGATGGCTCAGCGGAAAAGAGCATTGTCTGTTCCTCCAGATGTCCTGAGTTCAATTCCCAGCAACCACATGGTGGCTCACAATCATTTATCCTGGAATCTGTTGCCCTCTTCCAGCATGCAGGCATACATGTTTATAGAACACGCATAAATAAAACCTTAAAAAGTACCAAATGTTTATCAGTTTCATTAATGGATAAGCAAATTGGGGTAAATGGAATGTTAAGATAATGGAATATTTTTCAGTAAGAAAAACAGTAGTGAAGAAGTTATTCATGCTTCAACATAGATAAAATTCAAATCCACAACAGTAAAAAGACAAATACAAAAGTTTAGGATATGTGTAGGCCCATGGAGACAGAAGGTAGTCTCCTTTGGGCTGGGGGGTGACTAAGTGGTGAGATTTCCTTTTAGGGGAGGTGAAAATGTTCTGGAACTAGATAGAGATGACAGGTAGACAGCACTATACATGTACTGTCCTTCAACTACGTCAAAATGCTAATCTTAAGTGCATTTCACCTTCGTCTGAGAATACTATTTTGGAGGCTCAGGGCATTGGCTGCACTGCACAATCACCCACCACCCATGTCCAGCACACCCCACGTAACGGCCAGCTCTGAGGGGTAAGGGTGCAGACAGGATCACTGGGGCTCGCTGGCTTCCAGAATTCCTGAGAAAAGGTGAGCCCCCGGTTCAGAGAGACCCTGCCTCAAAGGAACAGGAGGAGAGTGATAAAGAAGCACAGGTGAAGGCCTCTTCTGGCTTCTCTGTGTACACACATACATACAAATTATTAAAAAATTCTAATCTGTGGCAGAGATCTGATTAAGTATTAAGCCATTTGCTTCCAGCTAGTTACAGTCACAAAAGGTTAGGAGTAAAACATATAACCACCAATGGGCAGAGTACAGACCAAACAATATGGAAATATACCACATGGCATTTTATAAATAGTTTATATACATGATTAGATGTAGTCTTTGAAGACAATAACCACTAAATTATAAAATGTTTAATCTTACAAGGCATCCAACCAAGTACACTGAATCCAAACAGTATTTTATCATGTTATTAGATTAAAGAAGAAACATTATCAATGTAGAAAAGGCATTTGATATCACTATTTGTGATAAAATTTCTATCAAATAAATAGGAGTGGAGAGGAACTATCATAAACTGATAAATGGATTGGACCAAAATCTGAATATAAAATCAACAGTCGACTGGGAAGTGTTTCAGTGTTCATTCCATTAGGGATGAAATGACTATTTTAGATATTGCCATTCCTATGTTGTTCCTGACTAATGTAAGAAAAAATATAGACACATACAATATGATGAGAATATATACATATATGCTTCTAATCTGAGTATTCTGCCTGCTTATTTAGAAGTAAAAATAGTAATATTTAATTTGCTGTAATATTAATCACATTATCAATAAATGCATTATTTTTGAGTAGTTTTTTCTCTTAAAATTTGTTTAACATTTTATTTCACCTTTATTATGTTTTAACTTTGTTTCTATGTATACTTTATTATAATTATGTTGCATTATTCTAAAACTGTATATATAATTTATGCATATATTTAAATGTATTCTTAGTAATATTTTACTTGTTTATTTATTTTTGTGAGACATGGTATTTAAAACAATACTGCTCACAATACATAAAACTCAGAATGGAGAACAGCAAAAGATCAGCGGTGACACAAAGGTGGAAGAAGGCTCCTGGGGTAGAGGGGTCAGGGGAGGAGGATGGAGACAGCGACAGAGGACAAGAAGACTGTACTTATAAAAAACAGTAATGATGTGCTGTAAGAGGTTAAATGGACATATTTCAGAAAAAGGGCTGAACTTCAAAACCAGGTTGGAAAGGAATAGGTAAATTAGATTTCATTAGTATAAAATAAAAAAAAAAAAATCACTGGGGCCTATTAGCTGGCTCACTGGGCAAAGGTGCTTGCTGACAAGACTGACTACAGAGCTCAACTTTGTGTCACAGTTCAAAACTGCAGGAGCACAGAACGGACTCATTGTTCACTGGGGCAAGAGTCGGGGTAGCTGCCATCAAAAATGACCTAGTAAAAGGCACGTTCACATCCTGATTGTGCTTACAGACTCTCCAGTGCATCAAGGGCACTTGCACTGGAGCGTGGTTACATGAAAATGTGTCCTGATGAAGGTCCAAGCCACATGGCCTCTGCTACTCAAGCTGTCATTTCAGTGTGAAAGCAGCCAAAGACAAAAACAAAATCCAAAAAAAAAAAAAAAACCCACAACAAAACAACCAAAAACGACCCAGAGGCTAGGCTGAGGCTGTCTCTGTGGCCAAACCAGCCACTCCAGCATGCTAGCTGAGAATGGCGCTTGATGGCAAGTCCCTGGAATCCACACGGTGGAAAGGAGAGAGATGACGCAGGAAGTTGTCGCCTGGCCACATTGGTGGATATGTCCACCCCCACCCGCACACAATAAATAAAAATTTTAAAAAAATTCTGATGTGAAAAATAAATGGATGAAGGGAAAAAACTGGTGTTAATCATCAGAACTCAATGTGTGAACTTTGATTTTTTTCATGGTGGCTACATTCCAGAAAAGATGAGTGAAAATTAGTAGAAAATGCTGGAAGGCAACTGTCCAGATTAGTTCCCAAAGTATTTGTTTAAGTTTGGGAGACAAGTGAAAGTTGACAGGATGAAATTATGAGCACTCAGCACCAGCGTTAGCAGTTATGAGCGCCATCAGCTCTGCTTCATTCACCACCCGTTCTGCTTCCCCCTTCCGTTATCCTGATGCAAACGATACAATTTTAGCCATCAATGTTGTAGTATGAATCTTTCTAAATGACTTTTAAAACCATAATACATGATGATTATCACACCTAAAAGTGAATAATAATCCTTGCGTGTCATTTGCTATCCAATTACTCTTTTTCACAGGTTGCTTATTTTGCGTGCATGCATGTGTATGTGACTGTGTGCCCACAGGCCACAGGGCCAGTGTAGGAGTTGGGAAAGCTTGCTGGACTTGCATCTTTTCCTTCACTCTTTTTTGTTGTGAAGATGGAACTCAAGAGGTCAGACTTCATAGCAAGTACCTTTGCCTGTGAGCCAGCAGCTCTGAAATAATTCTTCTTCCTCCCCCTCCTCCTTCTTTTCTCAAGACAGGGTTTCTCTGTCTAGCCTTGGCTGTCCTGGACTCACTTTGTAGACCATGCTGGCCTCAAACTCACAGAGATCTGCCTGCCTCTGCCTCCCTGGGTGCTGGCATTACAGGTGTGCACCACTGTGTCCAGTGAAATTATTCTTTAATATTTCTATTACATTTCCCTTTCCTTGTCTTTGGCTACAAAGTGTTATCTCACAACAGCCTTGTGTGTTTTCACATAGAATGGGCTATCTCCAGGGCAGCAATGCTGTGCCTCTGTTTTCTGGAGGTCAGCATGCACACAGATTACTTACAGTTGCCTGGGGACCATCTGCTCCTTCAGTAATTATCCTCAGTGCTTCTGTCTCTCTTTCTAAAACTGTGTCCATGTTTCTCAACATAGTATTTTTTACGTCAGTCACCTGACTCTTCACTGTAGACATTGTGCTGTTACTTTGACTTTTATTGTATTCCACCTGTATAGAAACGAAATAGAACAACAACTTCGTTTGTATTAGTGAAACACAGTATTGTCAAGGGCATATCTCACTTTTCTAAGGAATCAACTGAGCCACAAATTGTCCTAGTCTTGCAAAACAGAAAAACAGATGAGGGGAGAGAGTCCCACCAATGTATCAATGAGGATTGGGTGATTTTCTTTTAATGATTTATTTAATCATTCTAAACAGAGACTTTACTTTTGGAGACATTTCATGTTCACTGTAAGGTACAGCTTCCTGACTGCTCCCTTGTTGCCACACAGCACAGTCTCTTTTACTATCAACAGCCTACACATAGTGGAACATTTGTTACAGGTGATAGGCCAGAGTCCAGTTTACACTGATGTGAACAGGATAGAAACTGTCAGCCAGTTTTAGGTGCAGGGAGCTCACTTCCTGTCCTTGAATAGAAGCTGGAAATGTCTTCTGATCTGGCTGAAGAGCAGAAATGCCGTTACTGTTGTGGACCTTAATTCCTTGACTGGTTTCTTGTTATCTTTCTCTTTTTGCCCAGCTTCCTGGAAGATACATATGAAGGTATGACCAAAATTCCACTCCAGATTCCTGGGATGGAGAGGCACAAGGACAGACTGACCAGCCTGCCCCACAAACCTCTGTAACTGGTCTTTTATTATTTTGTGGGTTCTTCTTTCTTCCACCCTTCTCCCCCAGTTCAACCCCCTAACACTCGATCTGACCTGAATAAAGTCAGAGGTTGGAAAGGGGGTGACGTTATCAGCAGACCACTTCCTGCTGATTACAGGTGTCCAGCTCCTGGGGGCAAGTTTTTGATCTTTGCCATCAGGACATCTAATTTCTTCTTGTTGTTATTTCTTTGTGCATGACTAATTGACAAGACATGACCAACAGTGACCAACAGCAGAGAACAGCAAACAATGCCCACCATCAAACAACAACAACCCACCTCACCTAGTGGGGCGCTAGCATTTATCTACCTTCTAAAAAGTTCCAAAATTCCAAACATCACACAACCACAGAAGCTAGCTGCGGCTGGCAAAATCATGCCCCTGCTAGAGCACTGGACAAATCACAGTCAGCTGCTGTGAAGCAGCCCCACATCCAAACCCGGGATTAAAACAAAAACATTCATATAATGTTTGTGTTTTTTTTTAAAAAAAAACAAAATTCCAAAATTCTCACTACATTTCCTCTCTTCTGTTTTAAGCCATTAATTGTGCTGGGTATAATGGAAAATTATAAACAGACATTTCAATGAACTAAGCACTTTTTGGGTCAGTGACCAAGGTTTTCAAAAGACCTCTCTTGCTCAATTCTAATCTTTATAACTTTTGATGGTATCATAGCTTTCCATTTGCTGTGGAAATATAAACAAATCTGAATCCCCAATGCAAAGCTTTTAATGCTAACACACCCTTATAGTATATAGACTGATTTAATTCCACAGTTTTTCTACAACTCAGTGTCTCTTGGTTGCTGTTCCTTTCTCATTAACATTCAAAAAATTAAGGCTAACAGAGCATTCTTTATTCTATCCCTGGGATCTTTATTCTGCCTTTTTGTTTTATAAGCATTTCTTTTAAGGTGCAATTAGCTATTTCTAAAACTGCATGTCCTGTAGATTTGTGTGGTATACCCACAGTGTGGTTTATATTATAATATGCAAAAAATTGCTTCATCTTGCTAGATACATATGTGGGGGCATTATACATTTTAATTCGTACAGGCATTCCCATAATAAGCATCATTTTTAGTAAATGTGTGATTACAGAATCAGCCTTTTCAGAACTCAAAGTAGTTGCTCATTAAAACCCTGAATACATGTCAATGGCATGGTGTACAAATTTACACCATGTTTTTAAAATTCTGCAAAATGAAACACATCTGACAGATTTCATTTTTTGGTAGCCCTACGGTTATTTCTGGTGGGTAATGGAGTTTGGTTATATAAAGAATAAGTAGGACATTTTCTTATAATTTCTTTGGCTTTTTGTCAAGTGACAGAAAATTTTTTCTTTAAACTTCTGTTAACAAGGTGTGTTCATGAAAATTTGAGGCTTCTAACACATTTTCTATTAAGAATTGGTCAGTTTATTCATTTCCTTGTGCGAATGGACCTAGTAAGCCTGTATGAATCTGAATATGGGTAATATACAATGGATAGTTTCTATTTCTGATTGCCTGTTGCAGTTGCATAAATAACAAGTTAATTCTGAATTATCAGGAAGAAATCCAGCATTTCTATATGCAAAACACATTGCATATTGAAAACCAGTAATTAAGAAATTCAGAAAAAAAATCTAATAATACCATAAGAATTGCATGCAGCTCTGATTTTTTTTTTAACTGAAGTATATGGGCTTTGAATTCCTTTGATCATTTTGCCTGACTTATGGCTTGTCATTCTCCACTTATTTGCATCAGTATAGAATGTAGGTTCTTCAGGATTCTTCTGGCATTCCTTTACAACAATTAGTTCTTTTTATAAACTAAAGATACTTGCTTTTGGGATATTTATTGTTAATTTCTCAAAAGTTACTACAAGCTCTTTATCAGTCTTCACTGATTATCCATAATGACAGCATCTCAGCATTAATATAAGGTACTATGAATTCTGATGGGTTTGTTACTGACAATTGACATAGTCTTATTTTACCCTTTATGATTAAATTAGAAGCTTTTTCTGTGTAAGTTTTAAATTTTTTACTTTGTTTTTGTGCTAAGAAAATCCATTCCATAATACTATCTTCCCTTCCCATAATGAGCCCAATAGGAGAATGAGTTGAAGGTAAAATAACCAAAATACCAAAAATTTGGGATCTGTGCAATCCACATATGGATCTTGCAGTCTTTCTACCAGAATTAACTTTCTCTGCTTCAACTGTGAACCATCTTGGACTGTGTAAGTCCAAACCTCCTTTTCACATTTGAAATTAATTACTTACCTTTGGAGTAATTAATCCAATGGTAGGTCGTAGCCAATTAACATCTCCCATTAAATTTTGAAATTCATTAAGAGTTTGCAACTGATTTTTTTCTGATATGTACCTTTTGTGGTTAATTTTTTTACTGACTTATTTTATAACCCAAGTAGATAATAGAATTTCCTCTCTGTAGTTTCTCAGGAGCTATCTGTAACCTCCAGCATGGCAGAATTCTTTGTGTTTCCTCAAACATTTTCTCTGTCTGTGTCAGAATCAGCCAACAAAATATCATCATGTAATGGTAAATAACTGATTGAAGAAATTGTCTAGTGGTTGTTGCACAAAATGCTGACATTAAGTTGGATTGTTAAACATTTCCATGTGGAAGAACTTTCCACTGATATCTTTTTATAGGTTGACTATTATTATAAGTACGTACTGTGAAAGCAAACCTTTCCCTATCCTGCTCATGGAAGGAATAGTAAAAAAAAAAAAAAAAAAAAAAAAAAAGCAATCTTTTAAACCAGTTATGATCATGGGCCATGCCTTAGGCAACAAAGAAGGTAAGGGAATTTCAAGTTGTAAAAGACTCATTGGTTAGATTACTCTATTCACTGCTTTTAAATCTGTTAACATCCTCTGTTTTTATGATTTCTTTTTATAATATCTACAGGAGAATTCCATAGGCTTGTAGACTCATCTATATGTTGAGCCTATAACTGCCCTTGTACCAGCTGCTCCAGTACCTGTAATTTTTTCTTAGTTACGGGCCATTGCTCCAGCCACACAGGCTTGTCAGTCAACCATTTTAAGAGTAGAGCTGTTGCTATATTCAGTATCCCCTATCCCCTTATAAATTTAGAAACGTAATCTCTGCTATGTCCTGTGTTTGGACAACGCACAGCCTGGGGTTGATTTTGATGACATATATCAATACCTTGCCCAGGAGCATCTACTACGTCACTCCTTATTTCATCATGGGCTGTCTCTGGGATTGCAGGACTATTAATCTGAGTACCCTACTGTTATGAAAGATTCATTCAGCCATAGAAGGCTTTACCTTTTTTTTTTTTTTTGAACTTCTGATCCCACACATTTAACCCACTGTATACTTTCTTTTATCTGAGATAACTTTGGAATTCCTAGAAATTTGCGTATAAACCTTTTGAAGTGGCCATTCTGAATTCCAAGATTATTGTGAAATGATAGTTACATGGGCTCCTTTTTTCCACCAAATCTTCTATTTCAATACAATTTACTTCTAACTTTAATTCTGGCCTCTGACCATTAACAACTGTTTGCTAGAACACATGTTTTTCAGATTTTCCAAACCCTCCTGTGTTTTCTACTAAAGTGGATTTGCCTTTGATGTGGGGAAACAGTAGCAGCTGAGCAATTCTATCTCCTTTGTTAAATTGCATTTCTCTTTTTACATAGGCCATAATTTTAGTTTGTCCTTTGAAGTCCTCACCTATAATTTTTGGGTGCACAATAAATCCTTGGAAAGTCAGTCCACTTCTCCCCATGATCGTTCCTATTGTACCTGCTGACAAAGGACTATACACTCCAGTAGTTATTTTATACCATCGGATTTTTGGTGATATTGTAAAATGTTTATCTGTGGCCAAGGCTAGAGCTGCACTGCCTGCAGTAGCATGTGTTCAATCCGAACTACTTAGTTCAAGACTTTTTGCCTGTTTGTTATTTCTTGGCTGCCAAGAGGCAAATAGCATGTACTTTTTGCTCTGGAACCCTAAGCCTGTTTTTCCATGGTAAAAAATTGCCTTGGATATGTCTCTTAGACCTACCTCCATTGGTCCAGTGGCAACCCCTGGCACATTGCCTGTCCACCCCTGGAAGCCTAGGCCTTTTTTCTGGTTTATATATTTAAGAAGAAGAAGAGGAGGAGGAGGAGGAGGAGGAGGAGGAGGAGGAGGAGGAGGAGGAGGAGGAGGAGGAGGAGGAAGAAGAAGAAGAAGAAGAAGAAGAAGAAGAAGAAGAAGAAGAAGAAGAAGAAGAAGAAGAAGAAGAA